AGTTTTCCCAGCCCACTTGTTGAAGAGGCTTTCTGCTGCACTTCACATTTCTTGCTCCTTTGTCAAAGATTAAGTGATCATATATTTGGGGGTCCAAATATTCAACTCTGTTTGATTGGTCTGCACATCTGTTTCTAGCCCAATACCATGCTGTTTTAATTACTATTGCTTTGTAGTATACTTTGGAAGTTGGGAAAGGTAATGCCACCCATCTTCTTTTTCCCAAGAATTGCTTTAGCTCTTCATGGGGGTTTGTTGTTCCATATGAATTTCAGGAGTGTTTAGTCTATTTTTTTTAAAAAAATGCCAGGGGTATCCTGATAGGAACTGCATTAAATTGGTATAGTGGTTTGGGCAGTATTGCCATGACCAAGTAAGATTCATCCCAAGGATGCAAGGATGGTTTAACATTCTCAAGTCAATCAACATAATTCATCATATCAATAAAAGAACTAATATAAATCTTATTATCATATCAGTAGTTGCAGAGAAAGCACTTGACAAGATCCAGCACCCGTTTAAAATGAAAACTCTCAGCAAGATGTGCATTGAAGGAACTTTCCTCAATATAGTCAATTTCCCTCCCGTTGATCGTTGATTTGCTAAGCGGGCCCAGTAACGTCTCCATTGGAGACTTTGTTGTTACTGTGTCTGGCATATCGAATACTCTCGGTAGCTTGCCGGGCTCTCCGAGAGGGGCGGAGGAATCAAACTCGGGTCGGCCATGTTGGCCGCTTGTAAGGCGAACGCCCTACCCGCTGTGCTATCGCTCCAGCCCTAATATAGTCAAATATAGTCAAATATAGTCAAAGCCCATAGCAAATATCTACCACAAATCTACCACAAGCCCACATCAAGTATCATTCTGAAAAGGGGGAAAACTAAAAGCCTTCCCTCTAAGATCAGGCACAAGGCAAGGCTGTTCACTTTCACCACTCCTATTCAATATAGTACTGGAAGTCCAATAGCAGATAGGCAAAAAAAAAAATCAAGGGCATTCAGATAGGAAAGGAAAATGCCAAGCTATCATTATTTGCAGACGATATGATACTATCTATACTTATAATACCCTAAAGACACAGAAAAGCTGCTAGAAACAATAGGTTGGTATGATAAAGTGGCAGGCTAACAAAATCAATAATGAAAAGTTCATGGCTTTCTTATATACAAATAACGAAAGAAAAGAAAGAGACATTAAAAAAACAATCCTGTTCACAATAGTACCTCAGAAAATCAAGTACCTTAGAATCAGCTTAACCAAAGAGGTAAAGGACCTATAAAAGGAAAGTTACAAAACACTACTTCAAGAAATTAAAGAGGACACTAGGAAGTGGAGAAACATCGCCCACTCATGAAAAGGGAGGATTAGCATGTGCTCTTTTATAATATATTTCTTAATATCTGCTCTCATAAATATTGAAACAAGTATACATGCAAACTTTAGCTAAAATTAATCTTTGCACTTGTGTTAGGTTGTATCTCTATTTTTTTGGCTTATACGTTTGTTTTTTGTTTGGGGGCCACACCTGGCAATGTTCATTGGTTACCCCATGCTTTACACTCAGAAATCATTTCTATTGGTATTTGTGGAACCACATGGGATGGCAGATATCTAAATGGATCAGAGGCATGCAGGGCAAGTACTAACAGGCTCTACTATTTCTTGGGCCCCATCTATTTTGTTTGTTTGTTTTTATTTTTAACAACAAGATTTAAGAAATTATTCTATTAGAGTATAATCAATAATCTCAGAGTAGTCACCAAAAAAATGAGGTGATATATTACTTGTAACTTGCTTATGGCTATTTAGAATTTTAAGTTTTCACAATTGAGGAGATATTCCTGATAAAAGTTGAGAAACAAGTGGACATAAAGTAGTAACAGTGGAAATCGTTTTTTTTTTTTTTAGTTTTTCCTGAGACATGTCATCTTATGTCTATATTTACTATTAAAATTTATATTTGGAAATTTTCCAATTGTCATTACTTTGTGAAAATAGAATAGATTGAGGGAGTCTTCCTCTTTTTTTATTTCCCCAACCCACTTTCTGAAGTGAGGGAGAGCCTAGATTAATTTGGTTAATGTATAAAGATTGATAACTCACTGAGAAGATGAAATAATGATCTCAGATATAAGTACTATTATAAATAATGGGGAAATAAGCCTCTTTAATTTTTGGGTTGAATACTTGTGTCTTTTTAAAAAGTTTTCATCATAGCTGATATGGCATTTCTTATGTTTAATTGCTTCTATTTTTTAATGATTACCTTAAAAAAATAGCTGACAATTTTAGTAAGATTATGATCAGGGATGCTCGTGTTGTACCAAATCCCTGAGTGATAATCAGTCTGGCTCAGTTAATCCGTTAATTAAGGAGTGACTGGGAAAAGGAGAGGATTCCCAAGGTAAAGTCCAATTTCTACTTAAAGACCAAGTTTTTAAAATTTTTAATGTCAGTAGAACTTTATTCAAAAGGCCTTTTGCTTCTAATAAATTATCCTCCTCTAAAACAAAATACATTTTCTCATTTTATTTCTTTAAATTCAGTTAATAAAGGAGAAATATATTTGTCCCTTATCCAATCAGGTAAGCATGAATTCTTCCTGTCCATATAAAATTTATTTAACAAATATATGTTAACATCAGTGAAACAGAGTTGTTTGCTAAAAATTGTAAAGGACTGCATCTTGGTTTTGTCGTTAGATTTGAAACACAGACTTTAGAAAAGAGAACTCCCAAAAGTTTCCAAAGGGAAAAGAAACCAGCAGCTATTTTACAAGTTGAAGAAGTTTATAACTTTTTTTCATTGTGATTGCTGTTTATAAGTAAATGCATATTTGAATACAAATTGGTGCTAGTAAAGATCTTGTTTGAGATTCCCTTCACATTTCCTATTGAATCGTCCACTGAATATTCATATACTTGCTCTCCTTTGAAAAACAAATGGTGAAGGTGGAAAGAAATGATTGCAACAAGTATATATCAAATGTTTGGTATATGTATGTACATATTCTATATTGCAAATACTATCATTGCTCTTTTTTTGACTAAATTTTGTTCTTAAATTTGTTTGCTTTTACAATGAATATCCTCACAGAGTAAGGTATGTTGTAGGAAAGACCTAAGAGAATGAGCTTACACAGAGAGTAAGGCCAGTACAAATAAAAATGAAACAACAACAACAAAAATGCCAGTTTCTGAGAGTAACTGTTAGCTGATGAAATATGATGCATATGACTCAGACAAGTTTACACAGGTGTGCTAATGCATAGAAAGATAGAAGTTAGCTCTTGACCAAATGTTCATTTATATATTGAATTATACAGCTGCATAGAACATGGTTAAATATGTTGATAGTGTAGCAAATGGGGACAGTGGTTGTTTATATGATACAATTTTTGGTATGACAAATTTTAAAATGTATTTAAAAGTCAACTATTAGCCACTAGCTGACTATCTTAGAAACTCAGTGGCATTTTCACGTTCACAATCATCAAACAATTTCATGAAAAGTGTAAAATCAGAGACCTTTTAAGAACTATTTGTAACTCTTTAGAGTTTAATATGCATGCTAGAATACTATAAATAATCAAAAACTACTATATAATCTTCCGTTTATTAGACATGAAATTCTCAGGATGCCAAAGTTTTGCTTAGGTTACTGTTCCTGCCCTGCTAATGTTTAGTTTTTTTTTTTTTGCTGAAAGTCAAATATTGTTCACAGTGAACATTCTTAGAATATAGCTACCTTTATTCTTCTTTGCACCAAGTGCTGTTGGTTTTCAGTTAATGATCAATATATTAGTTATGTAGAATGTACTGAAAAAAATCGCTGTCATAATGAAACGGCTCTTTCTGAAAGAGAATTCAAAAAGTTAAATTTCTAAAAGTAGAGCAGTAAAAGGTCAAGAGAAAAAGTATAGGAGAAAAAATATCGGAGACTTTTGTATATACCTGTATATATATTTATGTACATGTGTATATGTATGTATATTTAGAGAGAGAAAGACGGGAGGCAATTTTTATTCAACAGGAAAGGAGAAATTTTACTAAAACATCAATTTTTGGTGAAAAAGTATCTAATCTTATTTACTATTACAAAGAAACAATTCATATGACTCACATGCAATTTATTCAATAAACACAAGCAGTCACATATCTCCACTCATGAGAATAAACACATGTGGAAGGAAAACACTGGGTGCGTAAAAATATGTGTCTACAGTATAGCAACAATAAGTGAATATGTGGATTTACATGGAAACCACTAGAAATCGGTTTGGCAGTGTCTCACTCATTGGCTGAATATTAATAAGCATGTGAAAGGAATCCATGTGTTTAGAATTGCTTTTGTGAAAGTAAATAACTGGATAAACCTGCTTCTTACTCTTCATGGATGTTGATGGGAAGATTGTCACAGAGAAACTTTCTAACACACAACAAATCAAGTACAACATTATGACCCTGGTATAACATTGAATGACCAGAGATACTGCATTGCAAGACTATTTAAAGTTAATTCATATATAATATTTAATTTTCACTAATTAATTTTATAACTAAATGGTTTAAATAAGCACAACCTCAAGGAGAAACCAATCTTTGAAAGCACTCCATCATAGTAATTATTTTAAAACTGACTGCAGATCTGTAAACATTTAAATTATATATAAGTAAAAGAATTAAAATAGAATCTGAACTAAAAACTAATCAAAAGAATATCAGTGTTATAATTGAATCCAACTTCATATTAAAATATTTGAAAGTTTGATAAATAATAAAATGTCTTTAAACACTTTATTTTCAACATATATGACAATCAATACGTAAAATAAGTGACAGGATTTTCTTTTTGCTTTTAATATGAATGAAAAAGTAAGCATGATACTTTTAAAATATTTAAGAATCTTAAGTGCTGTATACAAGGATGGGAAAAAATGTGTCCTATGCTAAAAACTTAAAACCATGAAAGTGAATTGACTTGTTTTCTGATTAAGTCACTCCTAGATATGAAGTATGAAGAGATGAAGACAGAGGGCAACACTTCCACCGTGACAGAATTTGTCTTGCAGGGATTTTCTGATCTTCCAAATCTGAAAAAATTATTATTTGGCCTTTTTGTCATCATTTACATGATTGTATTATTTGGAAATGGCCTTATAATAATAATAACCAAATTTGATCCTGCACTACAGAAACCTATGTATTTTTTCCTGGGCAATTTTTCTTCATTAGAAATCTGTTATGTGACAGTCACTCTCCCCAGGATGCTGAAGGACCTATGGACGAAGGATCGAAGCATTTCTAGAGTGGAGTGTGCCATGCAAATGTATTTCTTCATTACACTGGGATCCACGGAGTGTTGGCTCCTGGCTGTGATGTCCTATGACCGCTACGTGGCCATTTGTAATCCTCTGCACTACCCTCTTGTCATGAACCACAAAGTATGTGTCCTGTTGGCTGTCGGCTCCTGGACCGGTGTAATCCCACTGCAGATATGGCAAACTTGTCAAATGTTCTCTCTGCACTTCTGCAAGTCAAAGGAAATTAAGCACTACTTCTGTGACCTCCTCCCTGTTCTCAAACTCGGCTGTGGAAACACGTCTATCCAGGAGGTAACTCTTTACATAGCAGCTCTGGTCTTTGTGGTGATCCCATTCATGTTGATTCTTGTGTCCTACAGCAAAATCATTGGCACCATTCTGAGGCTGCCAACGGCCACAGGCAGGGCCAAAGCTTTCTCCACCTGTTCTTCCCATTTGATGGTTGTTCTTTTATTCTTTGGATCCGCTACTATCACCTACCTACAGCCGAAGTCTATGCAGTCTCCAGGCACTGATAAACTGCTGTCTCTTTTCTATACCACAGTGACGCCAATGTTCAATCCTCTGATATACAGCCTCCGGAACAAGGAGGTGATTGCAGCGCTGAGAAAATTATTTCTGAAAAAGTAATGTGATGGGGCTAGTAGTAGATATTGATTCTGTTTCTTATGCAATAAAACAACAAATATTTCCTCTTAGGAAAGTCAATACTTTTACCTCGTGGTTTACAAGGTGGGATTGTGCGTCTCATCCTGTCTTGGAAACATATGCAGTACCAGGAATTGTACTGGGAGATAGCTGTTACCTTGTGCTGTCTCTCTGGCCTACATTCAAATACTTTTAACTCTATTATTTACTGTGCTCAGTATAATCTACCTGTTTGATCCATCTTCAATGCTTCATGTTGCCCAAATATCTTGGTTGATGGATAAATTTGTAATATGGTTCTCATGTTCCTTAAAAATTGAAAAATAAGCCAATCTATTATGGCATACTAGGTATCAATGTAGAGAATGAATCAATTATTTACTTAAGATTTTACTTACCTTTTTTATTCTATAGCAGAAACTATCAGTCATATTACATAATGTCTGTTGAGCAGCTGATTATATGTATTAATAGATAAATTTGTATTGCATACTATAGCTATGCAAAATATGGAAATTGTAGAGCTTCAATTCATTTGGGGTGTGGGTCAATTTCATGGCTGAAGTGAAAGAGTACATGCTATGTATGTGCAAAGTTCTGGGTTCTATTTTGAGCACCACATACCATAAGTTATTTAAGTATGGATCCCATGGCAATAAAAATATAAAACAATAAGATGCATATTGTGAGCATAATTATTTAACCTATTATGTTCATATGTTGGCTAATATCCACTAGAAATAAAACAGTAAATCTTGTGTTATATATTAATATTTTTCCTAATGACTTCTGCTAAAGCAAATGATATAATACAAAATTTCTACCATTTTTCAACTGCTGAGCTTTTCATGTGCTAATTAAGATTTGTGGCCCCAAAGTAACAGTCTTTGATTGTTTATGTAATTTTCTTAAGACATCTCCAAACAGTAATCCCAGTATGGATTCATTCTTAAACATAAAATATCTATGTGATTAGAGGAAAATGCTGGAAGTTACCTTCAGGATTACAGGAGCTCACACCTCTGCACTAACATTAGTCTGCATAGTTTTCCATACCTTTAACCCTTTAGAAGGTCTTTGAAAAAAATGAAACCTCTGAATTGGTATTATATAAAGCTTTTTATCTGTCCACAAAATCACAAACAGCTGCATTCCTCCCAATTTCAGATTCTTTAATCAATAACTTGCATAAATATATTTAAAATGTTGGGGCTGGAACACTAGTACAGTGGTACAGTGTGTAGGGAGCATGTTCTGCCTGAGGCCAACCTGATTTGATCACAGTATCTCATATGGTCCCCTCAGTCTTATTAAGTAGTGATTCCTGATTGTAGAGCCAGGAATGATCTCTGAGCATCACTTGGCCCCATTGCATTTACACTAATGTAATGCAATATGTGCATAACATGTAAGTAGTTGGTTCTGTTTTTTGACAATTTTGGAATTTTAAAGTTTTGGTTCTATGAATGCATAGAAGATGTTTTTATTTTGTTTTATTGAGATGAGTACACTTTTCTTTATTACCTTGTATACAGACACTACCATGTAGGATGATGGGATTCTATTAGTTCTATATGCATTTAATTTAGGGAAGTATTTCTGTACCTATTCATTTCATCTCTAGTTTTATTTATTATAATTATTGTATAAAAATGGCTCCCATTGAATACTATCCTAATGATGATCTGGTAGTTATGACAGTGATCGTGATTTTTGTTGCTGTTACTTGAGAGAAAGAGAGTGAGAAAGAGAGATCGATAGAGCAGTGGTTCTCAATTCTGTTTTTCTGATTTCATAAAGCTTCAAGGATATTTCATAAAGAGAATAATTTAAGAGTTCAGATACATGATTTTTTTCCTGGTTTTGTTATTACATTTAATATTGCTAAGGGTTTTCTCCTGACCATGCTCAAGGATCTGTCCTGTGGGGCTAGAGATACCATATGGGATGCTGCAGATTGAATGGAGGTTGGCATGTGCAAGGTATGTAACTTACCTGCTATACGATATTACCAGACCCCAGATTCTGGCTTTTAATGGCATCTTTACCCAAAGGCTAAATTGACCATTTAGCTACCTTTTCATTAAATTCTATTAAAGAATAAAGTTTCAAGTCAGTACATGTTTAATATAGCATTAGTTTATTTTATTCTTTGTGTATATGGGGACACACAATGAAGATAAGGAGAACTAGCGTCTACAAATCAAGAGGATCCTCAGAAGAAAGCAAAAACAAAGAAGTTACATGAGGAAAAATTTAAAAAATATATAGATTGATTTAAAAGGTAATAGTCCTGGGCCTGGAGCCATAATGCAGTGGGTAAGGCATTTGCATTTCATGTGGCCAACCCTGTTTCATTCCCTGGGGTAACATATGGACCCCCAAGATCTATAGGAGTTGTTGGAATAATTTTTGAGTACAGAGCCAGGAGTAACTCCTGAGATTAGCAAGGTTTTCCCCTTTCCCACAATAAACAATAAAAACTATATTCTTTCTAGTGACTGGTGAGAAAGTACTTAGATATATAACCCAAATAATTCCTGAATGTTAGTTTTTAAGATTTATTTTCCAAAGGAAGCAAAGAAATGCAATTTAATTTTCAGTCCGGTGCTACAGGAGTTAATAATTATGATTTCATTTGGAAGTTCTCATCATAATCTCTCCAATTCACAATTAGTAAGCAGTGAAGTCCTCTTTCCTATGATATTAATTCCTGGGGTACATAGATTACATATTCATCTGGCATAGAAAATGTTTGGAAAGGTTTAAGGGTCTAAAATCAAAGTGCGGACACTTTAGCCATAATTATTTTTAAAAAGTTTTCAAATGCACATGTATTGGTTCTGTTTTTTATTGTTTTTTTTTGTTTGTTTTTTTTGCTGACCTTTTTGTTAGTTTTGCTTGGGTCACACCTGACACTGAGGAGGGCACACTTCTGGCTCTGTGTTCAGGCTCCTTTGGGACTCAGGAGACTATAAGTGGTGCAGAGGGTTCAACACAGGTGAACTGTGTGCAATACAAGTGCCTTACCCAGTTTACTATATTTTTAGCACACTCAGACATTTTAAAAATTTATGACTTTTTGAAGGGAATATTCAAGCGGCTTGTGATTATGAAACATTTAATAAATGATGTGTTAAAGCTTTTCACTAATCCTCGTGTATCTCTTTGATTCTGTCTTCGATGCTTTTTTGAAATTGTATTTATTTATTTTTATTAAAGAGCCACAATTTACAAAGTTCCTGATTGTTGAGTTTTAAGTCTATAATAATTTATTACCAATCCCTCCATCACTGTCACCTTCCCTACACCAGTGTTCCAAGGTTCCATTCCCATTCCCACCCTCGCTCTATTCCTACCTTCAAGTTGACAGACACATCACAAAGTTCCAGTGGTTGCCACTTTCATCTCATGTTTTCAGTTCTGTTGAATCTGTGTTTTGAATATGTGGCAATGCCCCTTCCTCATATAAAACTGAAGCCCTGATGCCTGTTAAACCATTTATTGTTGTTCTCTTCTTCCCCAATCAATTTCATTCATTTTCTGTCTATCTCTTCTCTATACACTGGGGTCAAGTATGATTTTAACACCCCCCATTTATTACAGCACAATTCCTCTTTCCATATTATATCTTCCACATGTAAATGGTAGGGTACTGATCTTATAATTTCTCATAGAAATAATTATACAATTATAGTTTATTCCTAAACTTATGTTATGGTCACTATTAAACTTTATTGAAGACATAGTAAAAATACTAATTTCATGAAGAATACACCTCTTTTTATATTAATTACATTTTTCACTCACAAATGGAATGCTTAGGTGTTTGAGCCATTAAGTATTTGCTCATCTAAACAGAGATACTGTTTAGATTATAGGATAAGCCTTCAGTTTTGCTAACATTCAAAAGTATATTATCATTAAGCCATTATGAATTCATATAATTGTACATGTAGTAACCTAATTTTTTGTTTTGTAAAATAACTTAAGCATTTTCTTTTTTCCTTCTTTATTTCTCAAGCCCTTTTATACTTAATTTATTATATGGGATTACAGCAATTTCAAAGATCATTTCCAGGGTTATATTTACTATTTCTGTCACCAGTTACTACAAAAGAACATCAAACAACATGAAAATTAACTTGCGATGAACTACATCAAAATGGTTCCACACACCTTTTTCATTATTCCATGATTTCCATTTATAACTCCATACATGTGGAGACAATGACAGAAATTATTCTCCAGTACTTAGCCCCTTTCCCAAGTTTTCAAGTATCCATCTGTTTATTCTCATTCCTTAACTTCTCATGCCTCAATACATGGGAAATTTCTTCTCTAACTTCATTAGGCGGTTGGAATGATTCAAAGCTTAATGATAAGAAATAAGTTGCAAAAAATTCATGATATGTTTTCTGACAAAAGAAAAATATTTTTGCTGGTTAAAAATTATTTAGGACAAAATTTATCTTTGAATTACACTGAATACATTCATCACATTGCTTAGGTATTTACAAAAAATCAATACAATATTAAATTTGTCCATAAAATTATCATTACTCATCAAAATTTTACTACAATGTTTATACTAGGTCAGGCTCTGATTAGAAATTGGAAAACCTTTTTAGAAGGGATTCTGATTGAAATACATTTACTGATTCAGTTTTTTAGGAACAGAGATTTTATGCTGGTACTGGAGGTCTTCGGCTGAGTGGGTTGAGCTTTCCTCCCCACCCCGACCAGGGCTCCGGCAGCCGAAGACCTCCAGGACCAGCCACCACCATGCTGAGACCACTCTCCGCACACATGAAGGTACTGGCAGAGGGACAAATCCACGCGGGTTCCGGGGCCGAGATCTCCAATCCTACTCGGATTGGAGTCGAGCATCCTCCACCCAGATCCTCCAAATTCCAGTAGGTGGGGGGTCACACCCACCACCTGGCCCCCTGGCGCCGTGTAATCCCATCAACGGCCAAGAC